TATAAATTAGATTCGAAATTCATCATGGCCCTCTTCCACATTTAAACCAAACATATCAGCTTTATTACCACCACTTCTGATTGAATCGGCATCAATTGCACAATCAATCAAGGGAGACTCATTAATCCTATGTGTTCTAATATTCATTCTAATCAGTGATATTATTGTATGTGTAACACACCTGTTGTAATTGGTAAACATCACATAATATCTGACAACATCCCGGCTGCTGCACCTCGTCCTTGGCTAGGGTTTAACCCTTTCAACAATATTTGATTTTAGTTGTTGCTTAAATTTAATTTAGCAATACTCCAGGTAAATAATCGAGTTTGGACCAGATGGTCCTGTGATTGACGTACTGAGCCGTGCAATATACAGTTGACAGATAATGTCAATAATAAAGAGCATGGTTCAATTGATGTATATTTCGAGAAAACCTAGATGGCAGCAAAATTTTGATTGTCCCTTGTAATCTGTCTGTGGCGTGGTAATTTATAGAATACTTTGAATTTGTCTTGGTATTGAATTCATTAAATGCTTGTACTGGTTTTACTACTTTTAAACTTGGAACGACGATGATTCAAGAACTTTTGAATAACAATGATTTCAATGATTATATGTCCCCTTGATAAAATTCAACTTTGCTGTCAAAGTGATGTTATTTTCTCAAACAGTGTTTTCATGTACAAAACCGTTTTCTATAGAACTGTCGGGTAAAAAAGTATTCACCAATCTTTAATGGTGGAAAAATTAAAAAAGAAATGGTTATCGATGGGGATGTATATGATATGGGTATCATACTTGTGTTTTGGACCTTTAACCCGTGCAGATCCAGGTTAGAACTGATCTCCAGTAACCCATGCTTGTAAGAGCTGACTAACGGGATCGGGGGGTCAGACTCGCTGACCTGGTTGACACATGTCATCGGTTCCCAATTGCGTAGATCAATGCTCATGATGTTGATCACTGGATTGTCTGGTCCAGACTCGATTATCTACAGACCGCCACCGTATAGCTGGAATATAGCTGAGTGCGTCGTAAAGCTAAACTCACTCACTCACTTTTGGACCTTTAATTGGCGACGTTTTGATAACGTTTGTAATTTATTGGTCAAATCCAGTTTGCAAGTATATACTTTCTTTTGTTCGTCAGTTTAGTTGGCCTATCACCTAAAACCTGAATCAGGCGACCTAGTACATAATCCAACTGAAATAAGCCAATATCAGTCCAACACTAACATGGCGTTCATCGATTGTAAACTGTTCATATGGTAATTGCACTCGCTTTAAGTGACTTTGCGCACCAACCTAGCTGTCAAAATCTGATAGACACATGTTACTCCTTGTACCTGAAGAGCAAATCATTATCCCAGTGTACATGTCTTGTAGATATGGATCTATCATAAAGTGAATATTGTGTAAATCAGTCATGACAGGGATCCGTTAATATACAGCTTGAATTTATGTGTCAAAAAGGAACGATTTCAAAAGGCATCATGATAGCTGTCCTTGGGTTTCAAAATAAATAAGAAACTAGGAAAATGGGCTCAGCATGGTAGAAAGCATAATGAAACGAGCGGAGTTTAAATACCGATTTATCTATAAGCAATAGGAACAAGTAAAAGGAAAATTGGCGGCCATCTTGGATTTCAGGAGGCTGATTTTTTTTTTCTCGTTGATTAATCCAATACTGCTTACGATGTAAATCTCTGTATTTGCATCATCACATGACAAATCGCACTATCTATCTGCTAATATACCAACCTGTGCCAAATCGCATATAGTAACCATTTTGTTGATTTGTCTCAAGGTCGGAGACCGGCGTGTAGCAACATGAAAGATCGCCTTAACGAACTCACTCGAATAGCATTAGCGTCTAAGCAGATCGGGAATGACGGGAAAATTACACACTGTCTACCGCGGAGTCAGTTATTCTGAATCAGCATCGTAGCTGGCGACCTTTCCTGGAGATGCCGAGTTGTCCCGGGGGACAGGGAGTAGGGTACTGTTCTCCAGACTATAATATCGGATAAACGTTACGACGTGACGACTCTCGCCTGGACTGTTTACAGTAATATTTGATTACATTAGAATACAATTGAATGAAACGTTTCATTCACGTAACACGTAACACGTGTCTTCAAAAGACAGTTTCAGAAAACGTTTTTCGTGTTTATCACTGTAATACAATGCGACGTTTGATTAAATGATATATTTATGCTGGTATGTTTTACATAGACAATCATCATAAACTGTTGTTTGTGGTGGTGGTGGTGGAATTGGGTTTAACGTCGTGCTTGAGAATATTTCGCTCATATGACGACGTGCATGCCTGTGTATGTGTATGTGCGGCTGCTTGTACTAGCCCAGACTTAACCTGGTTTTATAGCGCTAGCCCACTGTGATACCATGCCGCAGTGAAGCATGAATACCCGTCTCAGACACATTATACTGACTCCGAGCCGACCAGTCCTTGATGTACCCATTAATGCCGAACGCCAGGCAGGGACCAACAAGTACCATATTTTAACGTCTTTTGGTATGACGCGGTCGGGGATCGAACCCGCGACCTTCCGCACTCCGGGCGGACGCTCTTACCACTACACCACGGAGGCGGTCTGTTGTTTGTAGTAAATGCCTTAACAGAAAGTGGGGTTTCTGTAATACACTAATCCATCGCCGTTGACTGACGCAATAGGAATACAGGTTTGACTAAGCAAGATAAATGCTTTAAATACAACAAGAGCAAACTTGAATGAGGGGATGTAATTACGGACTCTCAACCGAATACGAAACGCTAATAAAGGTTACAATAAAGGCTACTAAGTGCTTGACCAATATACATGGCATGACCTATGTACATGGAGATCAACGGTATGATCAACTGTACGATATTAATTGGCTGTCAAGAGGTTGTCAATGGTATGACTAACCCACGTCACTTGTGTGACTATATGCGAGCAACGGTTTGGCTAAACAATAGTTAATGGCAAGCAATCGTATGAATAAGTGCATTCAAGGATTTGGTTAAAACGATGGTTTGTAATGGCGTCAACTAAACATCTCTGATTGAAAACTTTAATGGTCGGAACAGTTTGCAGATTTTTAAATGTGCAAAACCTGACTTATGATACTTGGAACTGTTAAAGAATATGTTTTATATTACCATCGAAAATTAAAAATATTTATACAAATTCGACACGTCGTCCTTGACCTTGATACATGTATATTCAGAATACAGTAGGCCTATAGCAACAGGAGACAAGATGAAATGCATCGAATTCGTACATATACATCCCGGCGAACATCTTGTGTCATCACTGATTCTCAGTGAATGATTCATACAATCCTCACCACAACTTCAGCACAAACTTATTATTCAAATAACATTGCCTCTAACAATGAAATATGTTTCGGACGATAATAAAGGCTGATCATTATCTGACTTTGACGTAGTATGTTTATTCTAAGCTACCGCTTGCACCATCCTTTAAACGTCTATAGAAAGGTCTAGATGTATCTCGACAGTGGAAGACCCGTGAAGACCCGGGTTAGAATTGATCTTCAGTAACCCGTGCTTGTCGTATGAGGCGACTAACGGGATCGGGTGGTCAGGCTTGCTGACTTGGTTGACAAATATCCCAATTGCATAGATCGATGCTCATGTTGTTGATCACTGGATTGTCTGGTCCAGACCGCCACCATACAGCTGGAATATTGCTGAGTGCGGGGTAAAGGTAAATTCACTCACTCAGTCACTTTTGGACCTTTACTTTGCTGTGTTTTGGCGACTGTGTTTAATCTACTAACTTTTTGATAAGGTTTGTAATTTCTTGATCTCCATAAGTATCTCAATTAGTATGAGTCACTGTGGTTACCATGTGAGACAAGGCTGACCACGGAACCACGGTCCGGACACCACTATGGTTGATAATGCCACATGCTATTGTTTGCCTGGTCAAAACGCTTTAATCAAACAATACTTAACTTATTTTCTGTTTCTCATCTTCTACCTGTCCTAACTACCTCCTTCAAAACAAACAATATCGTCTATTTACATCAACCTTAACAGAAATCTGGGGTTGGAAATCGTCACTGTTTGTCGAAGATATGCAAAGAAGGTAAGTAACCCTGCTTACCTGATACTGGCTCTATTCTCTCCTCATAAGCTTTCAACAATCTTTACAAATTAAAGAAATGAGCATAAACCAATATGGAAAATTTATAATCAGTTTTGAACTCAACATTTTACAGATAACGTTTTTGTTATATTCTCTGATTGGCTCACCGACTGCAAGGTGGAGCGGTGGGGTAGCCTAATGGTTAAAGCGTCCGCTCGTCATGCTGAGGACCCGGGATCGATTCCCCACCTGGGTTCAATGTGTGAAGCCCATTTCTGGTATCCCCCGCAGTGATATTGCTAGAATAATGCTAGAAGCGGCGTAAAACCATACTCACTCACTCTCCCCAATTGCAAGTTTGATATGGAGTTATGATACCTATAGAGTTAATACAAACACCTCCCTCGTTAACGTCCTTATGTCACTGAATTCTAATGTACGGTGTACGGGGCGTTGAAGTAGCCCAGTGGTAAATGCGTTTGCTCGTCTCACCGAAGGCCCCTGTTTTATTCACAACGTGGGTACAATGCCTGTCTTGGGTGCCCGCAGTGATATTCCTGGAATATTGCTGGGATATTGCGGCGTCAAACCACATTCACTCAAGCACAATAAAATCATACGTATTTTACCTACGTATGCAACACAAAATTGATTAATTTCCGCACGTTCTGTTAACAAGCAAGTTTGATATATGCTAACATGTTCCTCATAATAAGTTTCTGACAATTTATGCTAAAAGTATGTTGCCAGCACAATGTGTTGCCAGCTGAGTCGTGGTTAATACTTTACTGTGTGTATCACCATGGAAATGATTCCTCTAGTTTACATATTGCGCAAGTGGGTGGAACGCAGGTCAAATACGCTCTCGTGTTATCGAGATATGGACATGAAAACAATCGTCCCGCGGGCAAGGCCTAGACTTGTATCCAGCTGATTTCGTTAAGTATCAAGATCCTTAAATCTATTTTAAATATTGAATTATAGATTCCAATTAATAAGGTCTGACAAACTCAAGGCAGTGTCTCGCGCAATGACATAAAAAGCTTGGGTGATTAGCAATTGTGTGAATAGTGAAACTTCTACAAGAACTGCCAAGACGTAACCGTTCGATAAATTGCCATGATCAGATATAATCTACCTTTTCAACAGGAAATTGCCGAGCCGTTATCTTTATCGGATAGTTTGCACTGATCACGGCGTTGGGTTTACTCTTCTGAAATAGCCTATAGACCGAATTCGCTCGCTCGGATCACAACTCGATAATTTCACACTGCAGATCTTCGATTTCACGAGCACGGGAGACACTGGTGAATTTGGAAATTTCGATAAGGAGTTGTTTAGGACTGGAGGGGTACTGGAAAGTTTGGCGTCAGTTGCAGAAGGCGAGAGAGGATGGTTTTGCACCTGTTCCTAATTGGATTGTGTATCCTCGTGACAGGTAAGATCGCCAATATCCACACCTGTAATCTACTCGCAGGTAGGTCCTTTCATCGTGTGGGATCATATTATATACATGTATTGTATACACAATTTCCATGCAGCAGGTTAAGCAGGTAAAGTTTCATGTCATCAATACCGTGTCCTTCATACGACAGCATGTACTTATTCCTGCATGTATATGACATTATATACAGTTTATTTCTTTGAGGTTAAATGTTCAGGTGTGTGTTTCTAAAGACACGCGCAAAACTGATTCCTGATTATAGACTGTTTTTTATAATATCTGATAATCCTACGGTATAGAATCAACCGCGGTTAAGAACTACCGAACAGACAGTTTATACATTGTAAAAGGCACGATCGGAAACGGAAGACCCATGACGAAAGAAGACTTAAACTTCAACAAAACTTCAGCTGTGTGAGGGACTGTCCTGTTGCTAGACGCAAAACAAATCTTTTAACTTCAAGGAATATTTTGGTTGTCTAATATCTTCAACGTATGTAACCCTATTTGGCTCTCATATGACAAGACGCGCCACAATAAGCCCGTGCTCATATTCCTTTGTTCGAGATCATTGGAATTTGCCTGTTAACGTACTGGTTGGTTTTCAGAATGATTCCTTTAAAGACACATTCATAGTGAAACACGTATTACTTCATAATTTTACCGCCGTTGCTAAAAATATTTTCTTTTCACCTGCTTCGCGTCCCGGCTTGAATATGTAGTCAGGTTCCATCCTTACCCAGTTGTCCCTTAACGTTGATGTCTTGCAGCGTTGTGAACTGCCACTGCTTGCACATGTAATTATTTTTCTTTTGGGAAAAGGTTTTCTTGTTTCCTTGCAATGCAAATCAACCCAAATGATGGTTATCCATTAGTTGTATTTTCTACACAAGTTGAAGCAACAGTTTGGTGGAATTCATCATGATATCAAGCTCTGTAAAAATCCTGAAAACATTTGTGTAATCCCTGTAGTTTTCTGTGAGTTTAAGTTGGTAATCTCAGATTGGGTCAGATTATTATTCATGTACAGAAGAAGAAGTCAAAGTCAACATTTCAGCCCACAGTAAGTCTGTAAGTCTGTACACAACGTGTACTCTTCCCGTGTGTAACTATCGGGTGTCAGCTGTCTGGGCCAGAATGAATCCTTGGCTGTTATCAGAGCTTTGCATCGCCAATGGATATGTTTAAATGGAAGACTGGAGAACTTACTCAAACTGGGGTATCTGATGACGCTGATGGATTGCGGGGAGGGTGCGAAGGTGGGGTTTGGGGAGGGTGGGAAGGTGGATGGGGAGGATGCGAAGGTGGGGCTGGGGGTCTTTTTTCAAAACTGAGAAGTCTTATAACTGGCACTTACGAGGTCGGTACTACTTTCTATGTCTTTCTGTCCCCTGAACCTGTTTGTGTATATTGAATTTTGACCGATATTTCACAATTTGAATTACAAACATGTATGATACATATTTATAATGATTCATCCAGGTTTTTTATAGTCTAGTAACGTCTTTTAGTAATGGAAATGTATTATTGTTAGTACATGTATTTTAAGATTCGACTGATTACAGTAGTCTATCATTTTATATTGAAAATATATTTTACTTCCATTATGTTTAACACCTATCTATATATTTTCCTGTTTTCAATAATAGAAATATAATATTTTTTACAAATTATGATAAATACAGGGCATTAATACAGAAATGTGTAATATTCATTTTTGAGTGTGGATGACACAGCTGTCTAAGCTATTTTTGTCATTAAACCGCAGTAGTGGCTCGTGTACATTGCGACCAATGGCAGGGACAGTGATATTATTGATTTTTTCAGAAATGTTTCTTCATATTTAATGTTCAAGCTGTGAGGATTTATATCCCTACTAATGACTAGTTCCACTGACAACATCACGTTGTGGAACGTGGGACAACCACAGATCAGGCGATCATGTTATATCACCTTTCTGTTTTAGTGAAACGTTTGAGATAGCATTAGTGTGTAAATTTGTTCTTGCACATTTCGAGGCAGTTGGAATTTGAACTTACTTGACAGCCATTAGACCCGAGAATGTATTTTCTTTGATAAAGTGTCATGATCCCTTTTAAAATAGACCAAGTCCCGTCACAGCAGTGATGAAAAAAGTGGGTACGTACGTTGTTTATGGGAGTGCATGGTGAATGGTGGCCATTAATACCTCCACGTTTCCAAAGGAGTTTTTAAAGTTCCATAATCTGTAATCTGAATTGTTGAGATTATATGAGTCTAGTCTGTGGTGCGAAAACGCGAGTAGTCATTATGATAGAAATAAACTCCTTTTGTGTCAATTTTATACCTATAAGTGCTTTGGTATTTACCACGTATTGCGTCTGCCTGGTAAATGAGACAGACTACCGTGGTGGCTTTTGTCTCCCAAATGTGCCCAACTTTGTTTTTTGATGTAGCAACATGGGCGAATTCATAGAGCACTGGGGCTTAAGTAGGGAATCATATCTCTCTCTCTCTCTCTCTCTCTCTCTCTCTCTCTCTCTCTCTCTCTCTCTCTCTCTCTCTCTCTCTCTCTCTCTCTATATATATATATATATATATATATATATATATACCACACACACACACACCTGTCTTGCAGGAGGGCATAAGCTGGACAAGAAGGTCAATATGCACAAACATCATAAAGCTGTATTGTATTGTTAAATCTTTACAGCTCTAAGTCTAAGAACCTATTCGTGTATATTGTGTTCCAAGAATGGTTTAAAGCCTTTGCAGAGATGGAAGGGTATAAGGGGATTTACCCTTGCTCAAAGGCTCATATGTATTTAAAGAATATATTTGGCAAAAACTCCCCTTCTGATCGTCGTCAGCGTCGTCGTCGTCATCATCATCATCATCATCATCATCATTCTGAATACTCAAGTAAAAATCAGTGTTAGCAGAGAATCCGTGATTACAAATCCCGCAACAGATTGTTTCTATCATTTGACAAATACATATTTGACGGTCAAGAAAAATAATAAGTAAAATCGGAAAATTATATCATCGCATGTTCATAAATAATAGTTGAATGTTTTTTGGCTTAACATACATTGATATGGCGTTATAAAAAGTTTATAAACTGCTATCGACGTATTATTTTGGATCATGTCAAAGTTTACGAAAACTTAATGATGTATTTTCACTTTAGATTTCCTTTGAGGTGGACTCCGTATAGACTTAGAAACGACTGCGAACCTTTGAACTTTTGACCTCATTATAGCCAAATGTAGTGTCTCGTTTGTTACGCGTGGTCTCACCACGATTTGATAGTCATTCCTAAACACTAGCTGATAATATAATCGGAATTGGACAATGTACTCTGCTTTGAGTAAAAATGAATATGGAAATAGTGTTGATGGCCCTATGGCCCTTGTAAACTGAACAACTGTGTAATGCACCGAAAAGAACTCATTCAGATTAACAGACTGGAGTGACAATAACCATATTTAAACCACATCTGTTGGTATTTGAAACAGTTCCAGCTCCATCACCCAATGACGTAAAACACTTTATTGGTGACCACAGAAAAGATTCGTGTTGACCCCTTGACCCTTTGAAATCAAATACTGTAACACAAATGAAACATTGTAGTTTCACTTTCTGGAACACATTTCACAGTGAATCATATCATTATGGAAATGACTTTGTCGCTTTACGCGTGCATAGCATGCATGAACTAGGGAAATTGATAGAATACTTGACAAAGCAATGATCAGAAACTGGATTTAAATACTCAACTAAAAAGAAAACAACGAAATACTGAAATAAAGGTTTTTCAACTGCTCTTGTGGACAAAAGGTACATTGAAGTATAAATCAAGTCAGAAGTCACTTCAAGTTTTTTTCATGAAAAAATGTCAGTCGGTTATCTATATATTACTTAAAAGAAAGAACATATGAAATGAACAGAGTACTTACAATAATATGAAATAATCGGGGTTTTCGCCTTGTCTGAAAAAATCAATTTCCGTTCATGTGTCAGTGGAATTGCATACAAAGCTGTGAGAAATACAATTACATATATATACATGTACTCTTTATACACACTGTTATAAATCGAAAACTGTCTGTCATTTCCACGACGTAAAACACGTGTTCTACACGACCGAGGTAGTTTCTGTATTGACAAAACTCACATGTTTCCTGAGAAACAGCAACATATTTTCTCAACACATATTTTAAGTATCTAAATACTGCATATCTGCATCTCAACTATAGTGTCACTATGATGTAAATGTTCACCTCTGGGATATGTCAGAAATGTATGCCGTATGTTGACACAGTTTGAACGTCCATGTTCCGTAAGTCATTCGCCGTAGTTATGGAAGTCAGTTTTGATACGTGACGTTTCGTCTGATGTTGTATTGCACAGTGTCGTGAACTATGCATATATTCTACGGGGAAAAACTCTATGATGGAATCTATCTAACTCGAACGAATTATATTTCCTTTCAAGAACGTTCTATGTCTGAAGTAAGACTGTTTATTAACATTTTGACAAGGGTACAGGAAGATCTACACAGATGACAGAAAGCTGTCAGAAGTAAGATTCCTACGTAGAAGTGGTCTGGAGACGATAAAAAGCTTTTATTAACTTCAGAGTAAAAGAAAACATGAACCATGTATATCGGAAAGATATCTCTTCAGAAATTTGCTTAATGTTCTAGGTGTGAAGACAAATATTCTAGGTATGAGAGAGAATGTTGTAGATTCCACACAAGAGAGACGATACGTCAAAGAAGGAAAGTCATTAATGTTCTAGGGGTGAGAGAGAATGTTCTAAGTTCCACACAAGAGAGAAGATACGTCAAAGAAGGAAAGTCATTAATATTCTAGGTGTGAGAGAGAATGTTCTAAGATCCACACAAGAGAGAAGATACGTCAAAGAAAGAAAGTCATTAATATTCTAGGTGTGAGAGAGAATGTTGTAGATTCCACACAAGAGAGAAGATACGTCAAAGAAAGAAAGTC